CATTACCTTAAGGATCCTAAACCATGGGGAGTATGGTATATTCGGGCTTTAAGGGACCGTAGGGAAGTACGGTTGATGATAGAAAAATCCTGCATGACCTTAAGGATCCTAAACCATGGGAAGTATGGAGTATATCCCTTATTTTGGGTACTGCAGGATTTTTGTCATCAACCCTAGGACTTTAGGTTTTCGGGCTGAGATGGGTCTACGGTTAGACTTATGCGTGGGAGCAGACCTTTCATCGTTCTCATGTCGTCCTTGCAAAGACACGACATCCGACTCTATGTGGCTTGGCCACCGGACACGAGACTCTCTACGACTCTAAGTCTACGAAATCCTAAACCCTCAATCCTAAATCTTCGAAACCCAAAACAGCAGCTAAACAGCACAACAAAATTTGAATTGCTAACCACTGTGGTCAAAAAGTGAAACGCAAGCTCCACACAGACACAAACACAATCCAAGTTCGACCTGAGAAGCCCTTGTGTCCGAGGAGCAAAGGCACCAGTTTAGGAGCTAAGCTCTGCGGAGCAAAGGGGAGTAGCGCGGCGGCAGCGGCGCAAGCCTTCATGTTGGCGCCAAGTTGGCGCAAAGGCAGGTGGAAACTCTGGTATCGGAGCCTAAGGGGAATAATTCCGTTGTTCAGATCAAAAGACCTAGCAAAAAGAGTCTGTGCGTAAGAGAGGTGTTTCACCCGATGCATCATGTTGAAACATGTTGTGCTCATTTGTCGTTCACGTTCATTCGACATGCGACTGCTGCAAACAAGGATTGTCTTGGGCCTCCCCTCCATGGGTTCGGGGCTCAAGGTGGGCTCATGGATGCCTCGTTCGCACGGGGGTGTTTTGAGCTCGGAATCCCCGTGCTTGGCCTTTAAAGCTGCGAACTTTCAAACTGAGCCTCGGCGCCGCCAAGCAGAGCCAACGAGCTAAAGCAGCAACAGGCGAGAAGGACTCTTGTGACAGAAACTGCACTTCCGGTTCAAGGTCTCAGTACATTCAGGTTTGGTTCAGGGCCTCTGCGGCAATGCGACTTGGTTGGAGGTATGCGTTCGGACTCAAAGCGTTTGTTCAATGTGCTAGCGGGGAGCATCATCCACGAACGCGTCCGACACGGAGAAGGTGCTATCCTCGTGGGCGTTCAGGAGCCACTTGCTGGATGTTGCGACGGCCTGGCAACGCAGATTGAAACCGCTGGAAGATCTGCTTTACTTCCATTTCTTGCGTCTTTCGGGCTCCAGGATCTAGCAGGTTAGAATGACATAAGACTATAAACTAGCACAAAGCTTCGGTTTTTCGAAATTTTGAAAGTGCCAGGCCCGCCTGGAGCACCGTGGGCCAGTTGGCCTCGGGCCACTGCGCCGCCTCGCAGAGTGCGGCCACCAGGCGCCAGACCCCCGGAGCTGCCGGGGCCTTGGGGCGACTTCGGGCGCTCACCGAGGCGCTGCCCAAGGACTCCAGAGCCAGGCGCACCATACCTGGGTTCTGGTGAAGGAACTGAGAGATAGATACCGATATTCATATCCCTTTCTGAAGAGTTTTGTACCAGTAAGTACTAATAAGCGAAGTTAAGTTCCCGAAAAAAGGCTGAGATACGCGAGGGCAGCCGCCCGGCTGTGCTATCCGCAGTGGACACCGCAGGCCACAAGGCAGCCGTGTAGACAGCAAAGGTGTCTGCTCGGCAGGGCTGTGCCTGGGACCAGCGAAGCAGCTTCTCAATGCTCTCCACCAGGCTCGTGTCCAGATCTTCCTGTGGCGAGGGCTCCTTCTCCTTCGCTGTGATTCCCTGCCTCGTTTCTTCCGGCACCTCCGCAATGACCGGCCCGTCCGCAATGACCCTTTCTGCCTCGCCTGCGCGCGGTGCCTCTACCGTGTGGGCCTGCGCAGCCTCCTCTACCGCTGCTGCGAAGACCAGGTGCTGCTCGGTGATGGCCGCCTCGCCCGAGATCGGCGAGTCCCGAATCCAGGCTCTGCACCTAAGAATGGGGGCGTGGCCCGAAAGCCAAAAGGACCCCGAGCAAAACTCAAATGTCCTTAGCATGATCCTGCGACAGCAAAAGCACCTGCTGAGGGCCGCCGTCAGCTCTGGGCCCTGGATCACCCCGACACCTGCGGTCGCTTACTTGGAGAGGGCGGCCGAAGCATTGACTCTTCAATTCCAGTTTCGGGCTTAAGAGAGCGATGTGGGCATCTGTCCAACTTCTATAGCCCCAGGTAGAGTCCCCGCGATGAGGCGTCCTGCGCTAACAAACCCCTGTTAAGTCGACAAGCGTGGGTGTCAGGACCCGTGAAACCCTCCCAACAGGATTCCACATCGCTCTGCAGGACTTGCTTTCCAATGATTCCCATCGCGCCACACCGGAAAACTCTGCAAAGGATCGTGTCGGACACCGGCAAAGCGACAGAAACTCCCTGCACGCAGCCGAAGAGACATGACGGGGACAGACTTGTTCAAACAAGTCGAAAAGCCTGCGCTCTGCCGCACCACCGTGGCAGCAGCGTGGCCCCAGCCGAGGGTGCCGCTGGCAACTTTGTCGCTGAGTGCCCAGGAGAGGAAGCCTTCAGCCTCGACTTCGATACAAATTATAAAACAAATATCTTAGATGATAAAACACACTATACTGCATTCTATTGTTAAGAGTATATTGGAGTTAATATCATGGGATGCTGTGCGATACCAACCCTGCTGCTTCTGAATGCGGGGTCCGCAAGGTTCTCGCAGTCTTGACTGATCTTGGGGATTTCGCGGCGCAGGGGCTCACGGATTTGTGGACCTCGGGACCTCTGCATCGATCTGGCATTTTTTAGCAAATCGCTTCCTACCAAACCACGACATTTCTCTTTTGCAGCAAATCTTCGCATCCTGTAGTACGATGTTAGCTTACGGTGCTTTTATAGTTCGCGTATTCGAACCATTCTGGATTGAAGCATGGGTTCGACAGAGGCACCCAAGCGAAACCCTGAATCGTTGAGCACTTAAGCCGAGCTGCACCCAAGGCCTCGGATCTGTCAGCATCCGTCCAGAGCGCCGCCAGCAGGTGCCGCAAGGGACTGAGCCCTGCCTTGGACCGGGGTTTGGGGTGCATGTCAGGAGTTGGGGTGTCAGGGAAAATGAGGGGAAGATAGAACCTTCCAAGGACTGAGTATGACGAGGATCATACACCTTTATCCTCGGACGATCATCACCTGCAGGCTCTTCCATCTCCATTTGCGACACCAAGTCATGTGCTTGGCAGTCTATGCAGAAAAGGCAGGCCCGGCGCACAGCTGTTGCCAAGTGGCGGGACTGTCTGAACTCGTCGGTGCATTGCACTCCATGCTAAGACACCGACCGGCAACACAAAACTGACTCGAGCAGTCGAATTAGAATAAGGATTTTCTCAGCCCTGAGGGGCAGACTGCCTCCATTCTGGAACAAGGCTAGAGTTCACATGCAGTTCTCACTGGTGGTCACGGACTCCGCGTGAGACTGGTACTCGCCGCTTTGGGTCTTGCCTTTCTCGCTCTGTGCCGGTCCGTGGAACATCCCACCCATCTCGGACCAGTAGTAGCAGGGGCTCAGCAGCGCCCAAAACATCACATAGCCTGCATGGACCTGGAAAGGCAGCAGAGCATCCTGAATCGGCTTGTAGAAGCAGAAGCCTGCAATCACAGCCCCGAGATTTCCACCAGCACCCACAAGTGCGGACACGACTGCGAGCTGCTTTCCTTGGCTGACTTCTGAACTTCTCCTGAAAGTTAAGCTGTTTGCCCACTTAATATTCATATGGAACCCAAAAAGTTAGAGTCCTAAGAGCCAACAGAAAAACGCCAAGTTTCGGTTCATGAAAGGCACGATGCCGTAGGAGGTGCCTTCAGCCATCTGCACAAAGAGCGAGAAGCAAACCAAGACTGCCAAAGCCACGTACCACGGCTGGGAATTGTCCACGTTTCCGAAGCTGAATAGGAAGATAGCTTCGAAAAAGAGTGCCAGGAACTGAGCCCAAATGCGGCCGCGGAAGCCGAAGTACTTGAAGGCAATATCGCTACTAATACCTCCAAGAGATCTTGCGAACAGGTTCATGAGGCCGAAGGCACCTGCCAGGGCGCTGGCATCACCTGCATCCATCTGGAAGTATGTTCGAAAATGCGTAGCCAACTGATTGTTCATTGCGAGCTCTGTGCCGAAACATGCGGAATATTGGAATATCATGACGATGACGCGAACGTCACGCAGCACCTCGACATAGTCCCACATCGAAGGCTTTTGTGTCTTGCCGGTCACGGTCGGATCGTAGTTGCGTGCCGTAGGCATATCCCAGCACATGAGCTTCATGCAAATGGCACAAACCACGAACATGACCGCTGGCACCACCATGGAGACGCGCCAAGCGACGTTCGGCTCCAACCCCGAGGCCACCATAGGATTGAAAAGTACCGACATCATAAAAATCTGGGTTACGCCGCCTCCCAAGTTGCCCCAACCGGCGGCAGTGGCGTTGGCCGTGCCGACAACGTTGGGCGCAAACATCAGCGAGCACCAGAACTGATTGGTCACGAACGTGGCGCCGGCGCAACCTATGAAGAAGCGTATGAGCGTGTAGTTCCATGGAGCCGTAATGGCGGCTGCCATTGCCACCCAGAAAGCCCCGAAGGACATTAAGCCACACTGAACGTTCACTGGACCGAAGCGCTCCAGGAGCGTCCCCAAAGCTACCCTCACGAAGATGGTCGAGGCAACCGATGCTACGCCGGCATTCGCAATCACCGATTTACATTCCGTGCCTGGGGTGCACACGCACTTTGTGAGCACCTGTGGCCTGTACTTCTCCTTCTGCTCAGCCGTCTCCACATCTGCGGGGACGTCCCCGCAGTCGACCGGCTTACCATCCTCTTTCAGGACCCCATACTGGCAATAGCTCAGCCCACTCTTCAAGTTCTTGAACTTCA